CCCTGGGTTCGATTCCTCAGCACCACATAAGCAAAAAGAAAAAAGCCAGAAGTGGCGCTGTGGCTCAAGTGGTAGAGCACTAGCCTTGAGTTGAAGAGCTGAGGGACAGCGCCCAGGCCCAGAGTTCAGCCCCACGACTGGACCCAAAAAAAAAAACTCAATAATTAAGGGCCAGAAGCTAAATCTAGAAATCTAGTCTTCTAGAAAGTAGAGCAAGAAGGCAAAGAAAATTAAAATGGGAGAGAGAAGATGAAGAAATGACAGCATATACAAAGAAATCTGATGTCAAAATAGTTCTAAAAGAGAAAAGAAAATAAAAGATTAGAAGTTATCAATTTAATAACTTTAAAATTCAGACAGGCTGGGATCTGGTGGCTCATAACTGTAACTCTAGCTACACAGGAGGCTGAGATTTGAGGATCATGGTTTGGAGCCAGCCTGGGCAGGAAAGTCTGTAATCTCCAATTAACTACCAGAAAACCAGAGGTGGCACTGTGGCCTACTAGGCTTGAGTGAAAAAGTTCAAGGACAGCACTCAGAACCTGAGTTTAAGTCCCATGACCATCACCACCAACAACAAAATCTGACGTATCAGAAAAGGCACACATTTTCCACAGAAGGGCCAACATAGTAAGTAAAAATAAATCCTTAGCAAGACACATGACTGTAAAATTTGAGATCAATGAAGACTATCAATCTTATAAACTTAAGGAAAGAAAAGAGATCACATAAATGGCAAAAATAAGAATGGCTTCAGACTTCCTTACAGCAATACTGAAAACCAGAAAATAATACTTCAAAATTTTAGAAGGAAGAGCCAGACACTGGTGGTTCACACCTATAATCCTCTCACCTCCAATTAACCAACAAAAAAAGCCAGAAGTGGAGCTATTGCTCAAGTGGTAAAGTGCAGACAATGCCCAAGCTCTGAATTCAAGCTGCAGCACTGACACAGAAAAAAGAGAGAAAGAAAGAAGGAAAATAAGTTTAAGCTAGAATTCTGTACCTAACCCTAACATCAAGTGTGAAGACATCTTCAGACATTTATGGTAATCTTCTATGTACCTTCTTTTCTTGAAAGACTCTGAGGCTATATTCTCCCAAACTAAGGAAGTAAAGGAAAAAAAGAAAAAGGACACATATCCGAACACTAGAAACAGGATATCCCCGTTGGTGATGGTGCAAAGCAACCCAAGGACAAAGCTGTATACCTAAGTGCAGGCCACCAGTTTAGACTGAGATTGGACAAAAGGCTCCAAAGAGATTTCTTCTGAAAATGGAATCTGCTGAAATATCAGATGGATTTGAATGTACTTAGAGTAGACTGAAACAACTAGAAAGAGTATAGAGCCGAAAAACTGTAAATACTAAACAGACTAAGCTAAATGAAAAAGGGGTAAACCTATTAGAGGAAAATCAAAATGATATAAAAGAATGAAAAGGACAGTATTTATTATCTCAGCTGTAAATTTATTTAGTGTCATAGTAATGTAAGCACTGAATGACTGAACAAATATAATCTGACTCTATCAAAGGGTAGGAGAAATGAAAAGAATATGGATATGTGGTAGGAATGGGGGAAGAGGAGAGCTAGTGTCCTACCTTTGATATTGGGAAATTAAAAAGATATTGTGGAAATCTGAACAATTAAATAGGAACACTATAACCAAATATAAGAGAGACATGGGAAGTAAATACAAGGTATGTTACAGAAACTAAAAATATACTCTAATCTCCTGCCTTATTGTCCTGGAACTGGCCACGATAAAATTCTGATAATAAAGCTCCCATTTTAAAAAGAATACTGCCTTATGCCTACCAGGAACAAGTACTGCAGAGAGAGGCCAAGAAGAAACTGAACAGTCCTTGCTGGCTACCATCACTGTCCATTAACATTACAGATCATACCTTTTTTTGCCCAATCATATTTCTTTTTTTTTTCTTATTTTTTTTTGGGGGTCCGGTTGTGGGGCCTGAACTCTGGGCTTGGGCACTGTCCCTCAGCTCTTCAGCTCAAGGCTAGCGCTCTACCACTTGAGCCACAGCGCCACTTCTGGCTTTTTTCTTTTT